GTAAATATCTTGCACTGCCAGCTACAAAAGTACCATGCAAATGCCTGTTCTCACTTTCTGGTGACATTGTAAATAAGAAGAGGGACGCATCATTTACAGGAATGTAAACACACTTGTTTGTCTTAGCAATTGGTTGAACAAGAAGTAGGACTGAGTCGACTTGTAGGCTCTGAAGTTTTACAATGTTTTGTTTTTGAGTGCAAAAAAATTTCTACATTTGTAAATTGCACTTTCACGATAAAGAGATTACACTATAATACTTGTATGAGGTGAATTGAAAAATACTATTTCTTTTATCATTTTTAGTCCAAATATTTGTAATAAAAATAATATAAACTGATTTCAATTACAACACAGAATACAATATATATGAAAATGTAGAAAATCATCCAAAATATTTAATAAATTTAAATTGGTATTCTATTGTTTAACAGCACGATTAAAACTGCGATGAATCATGATGAATTTTTTTTAATCACGATGACTTTTTTTGAGTTAATCATGTGAGTTAACTGCTATTAATCGACAGCCCTACTCATGATACAACATCATTTCCAACTATCATAAAAGAAAGAACCTTATGTTCTCAACATCCCATCTGTTCCTCCATAAACAAGTCAAAACTGCCCCTCCCAATAAGGATCTGGAACCCACTGCAATTTCATTTATCAGGGGACTTTTGATTTAAGATCACTTGTGAATACAATATAGAGAATGGTTCCAGAGTAGCAGCTGTGTTAGTTTGTATTCCCAAAAAGAAAAGGAGTACTTGTGGCACCTTAGAGACTAACCAGTTTATTTGAGCATAAGCTTTCAGTGAGCTACAGCTCCCTTCATTGCATCCGATGAAGGGAGCTGTAGCTCGCGAAAGCTTATGCGCAAATAAACTGGTTAGTCTCTAAGGTGCCACAAGTACTCCTTTTCTTTTTGCGAATATAGAGAATATTTTTGCTGTCATTTGTTTTAAATACCGATGTTTAGGCGGAGTGCACCTTCGGGCCAGTCCACACCAATTTGCAAGTCATCAGAGAGTAGATACAAGAGCTCAATGGAAAGCTAAGAGGGGGCAGTTCAAGCAGATACTAGATGTTTCAAGATTCTAAGGATAGTAGTGATTTAAAAAATAAATTACAATAATTTAAATAGCAGGCTGAGGGCGAGAGGAAGGCAGAAATCCTAGAGATTCTTTCCTGTTACTTTATCCTCATGAACATGTAAAGCTGAGGCAGACCTGGGAGCAGTTCTGACCGTCTATGTCAGCCATGCAGATTTCTCTTTCTAGCGTGCCCATTTTATGACGAAGAGATACTATCAGTTGACTAGAAGATTGGCATAGAATAATGATCTCTTGCCTTAGAGGCAAAATCCAGATGTTTATTTTCAGAACGTGAAACGTGATGCTGTGACAATATCCTATTACAAAACACTTTCTGAATCAGAGAAAGCCTCTAGAAAATGTTAATTTTCTGACACCCGGCCTCTCCCATTGTCAAGCACATCTGCCCCTGTCCCCATATGTTCCTGCACCCCCATGTGTCCTTGCACCCCCTGTCCATGTGTCCCTCCACCCCTACTCAGACACTCACTCCCCCTCCCCCATATGGCCCTGTACCCCTCCCCATGTGTCTCTGTGCCCGCACCCAGCCACACCCTTGTCTCTATGTGTACGTGTCCCCGCTCCCTCTGTCCCCATGTGTCTCTGTGCCCCCACCCAGCCACTCCAATCCCTATGCAGCTGTGCACCCCCCCATCACTATTTGGCCCTGCACCTCCTTCCCCCCTGGGCCCTGTGCCTCCACTCCCATTCAGCCCCTACCCCAGTCTGTCCTTCCCCCATTAGCCCTTATGAGCCCCTCTGCAGGTCCTCTTTCTTCCCTAGCTGGCTGGGATCTGTTGTGTGATATCGTCACAGCGCCCTCTGCTGGGCAAAAGGCAGAAGGGCAGAAGTTATTTTCTGCTGGGAGCTGCTGCTGCTGCTCTTGCACCACAGCGCCCTCTGGTGGGAAAAAGGCAGAATTGCAACAACATTTCAACAGAAGCTTTTTTCTGCCCACAAAATTAAAAATATGCACAACTCATTAATTTTGCACACACGCAGTAGCGTAGAATTCCCCCAGGAGTATTAGTTGTAGTTTGGATACTAGATAAGTCCTCTCCAGATGGGAGATAAATTAATGTAGAAAAAAACTATATTGATATGATTGAGACACAACAGAATTCATGAGGCTCTTTGTTTTCCCTTATACGTTTCTCCTGGTTGACAGAAGGCATTAATAGGGTAACCATGCATCCCTAGAAATAAATCTAAAGTGTCCCTGTTTTCAGGCCTTGTCCTGGTGTCACAAAGTTTTGTCACAATTTTGTAAGCCTGCAATCTGCTCACCTGAAGCAGCCACTAGCCCAATGGTGGGCAACCTGCAGCCCATCAGGGTAAGCTGATTGCAGGCCGCGAGACATTTTGTGGATGTTGACCATCCGTGGGCACAGCCCCCTGCAGCTCCCAGTGGCCACGGTTCACCTTTCCTGGCCAACAGGAGCTGCGGGAAGTAGCAACCAGCACATCCCTGCAGCCTGCCACTTCCTGCAGCTCCCATTGGACAGGAACAGTGAACTGCGGCCACTAGGAGCTGCAGGGCATCGTGCCCGCGGAATGGTCAGCGTCTGCAAAATGTCTCACAGACGGCAGTCAGCTTACCCTGATGGGCCGCAGGTTGCCCACCACTGCACTAGCCAGTGTTGACCTATACGTACCTGGGATCACCCCTTCATCCCCAGTCGATATATTGCTACACTGCCCTCTTCTGCACCGCAAGAACTCCCAGGAAGCTCCCACTCTGAATAAATCCTCAAACCAATCGTCCCATGAACACAAAATGGTAGGCAAGGTAAGGGTCAGGGAACAGCTTGGCTGAGAACACCCTTTGCTCTCTTCCCCAGCTACCATAACTCTCTTGTGCAAAACCTCAAGGGCCGCCACTAAAAAACACACCCTCCCACTGCTGTCCAACTTGAAAACCTGCATCAATCATATTAGTCAATTGAGAAAAACTCACAGGGACTTTCTCAGTCTGTATGGTTAAGCCATCAAGTTGTGCTTGCTTGTGAATATTTAATAATGCACCTGAGGCCCTCAGATCCTTATCCTGCCCTTACTGGAGCCAATCAGAAAATTCTCATGAAATAAATGACTGCAAGACTCAAATGTGACTGGCTACTGGCTCAAGATGCTACAGACTGAAATAGCTCCATAGAGACGAAGTTAATCATTTGATTGTATTTTTATCTCTATAGTTAATTGGGATTCTTCATGCTGTGACACATAACACTAGCCAAGTTCAATTCCCTACTTCACCACAGACTTCCTGAATGACCTTGAGCAAGTCACTTAGCCTCTCTGTACCCCAGTTGTCCATCTGTTAAAATGGGGACAATATTACTTCCCTACCTCACAGGGGTGTTGTAAGGATAAATCTATTAAAGATTATGAAACACTTTTGAGATCTACTCATAAAAAAGTACTCTATGAGAGCTAGGTATGATTATAACCACTTTCAAAGCAATTGTGATTGAAAGTATAAAGGCTGTAGGGCAAAAATTAGTTAAAGCAAAAGAAAGAAACTGTTAGGTAAGTCAGTGCATTTTCAGAGTAATTATTAGAACTACCTGTCTTTGGGGCAATGTCTTATGCAAAGATGGCATGTTTGTGGACGGTATGTGAATACATCAGAAAATTCTGGCTACCACATCTTCTTTTGTAATAGACAGTGTGGGAAAAAGTGAGTGGACTGCAAACATAAATCTTTTGCAAACTGGCCCCAGCAGTAAAGTGCAGGATTTAGGAATAACCTTTATGTTAATAATGTTCCTTTTCGATTAAATGGGAAGTTCAGAAGAGCAAGTGATACAGTGTGGCAGGGAAAACTCTGGTTCTCTTCCCTCTGGATGTAGAAAAACCCATGGTGCCATCCAGCCACCTCCACTGCCAGGTCCCACTCGCTTCCCATCACTATTTCCCCCACCTCCTGCCCCATCCTCCACCCCCGCTTCCCCTTTCCCCCCAGTCCCGCCTGCCCCCCATCCTCCACCCCCGCTTCTCCTTCCCCCCAGTCCCGCCTGCCCCCCATCCTCCACCCCCGCTTCCGCCTTCCCCCCAGTCCCGCCTGCCCCCCATCCTCCACCCCCGCTTCCGCCTTCCCCCAGTCCCGCCTGCCCCCCATCCTCCACCCCCGCTTCCCCCTTCCCTCCAGTCCCGCCTGCCCCCCATCCTCCACCCCCGCTTCCCCCCTTCCCCCCAGTCCCGCCTGCCCCCCATCCTCCACCCCCGCTTCCCCCTTCCCTCCAGTCCCGCCTGCCCCCCCATCCTCCACCCCCGCTTCCCCCTTCCCCCCAGTCCCGCCTGCCCCCCATCCTCCACCCCCGCTTCCCCCTTCCCTCCAGTCCCGCCTGCCCCCCATCCTCCACCCCCGCTTCCCCTTTCCCCCCAGTCCCGCCTGCCCCCCATCCTCCACCCCCGCTTCTCCTTCCCCCCAGTCCCGCCTGCCCCCCATCCTCCACCCCCGCTTCTCCTTCCCCCCAGTCCCGCCTGCCCCCCATCCTCCACCCCCGCTTCCGCCTTCCCCCCAGTCCCGCCTGCCCCCCATCCTCCACCCCCGCTTCCCCCTTCCCTCCAGTCCCGCCTGCCCCCCATCCTCCACCCCCGCTTCCCCCTTCCCCCCAGTCCCGCCTGCCCCCCATCCTCCACCCCCCGCTTCCCCCTTCCCTCCAGTCCCGCCTGCCCCCCATCCTCCACCCCCGCTTCCCCCTTCCCTCCAGTCCCGCCTGCCCCCCATCCTACACCCCCGTTTCCCCCTTCCCCCCAGTCCCGCCTGCCCCCCATCCTCCACCCCCGCTTCCCCTTTCCCCCCAGTCCCGCCTGCCCCCATCCTCCACCCCCGCTTCTCCTTCCCCCCAGTCCCGCCTGCCCCCCATCCTCCACCCCCCGCTTCTCCTTCCCCCCAGTCCCGCCTGCCCCCCATCCTCCACCCCCGCTTCCCCCTTCCCCTCCAGTCCCGCCTGCCCCCCATCCTCCACCCCCGCTTCCCCCTTCCCTCCAGTCCCGCCTCCCCCCATCCTCCACCCCCGCTTCCCCTTTCCCCCCAGTCCCGCCTGCCCCCCATCCTCCACCCCCCGCTTCCCCTTTCCCCCCAGTCCCGCCTGCCCCCCATCCTCCACCCCCGCTTCCCCCTTCCCTCCAGTCCCGCCTGCCCCCCATCCTCCACCCCCGCTTCCCCCTTCCCTCCAGTCCCGCCTGCCCCCCATCCTCCACCCCCGCTTCCCCTTTCCCCCCAGTCCCGCCTGCCCCCCATCCTCCACCCCCGCTTCCCCCTTCCCTCCAGTCCCGCCTGCCCACCATCCTCCACCCCCGCTTCCCCTTTCCCCCCAGTCCCGCCTGCCCCCCATCCTCCACCCCCGCTTCCCCCTTCCCTCCAGTCCCGCCTGCCCCCCATCCTCCACCCCCGCTTCCCCCTTCCCCCCAGTCCCGCCTGCCCCCCGCTTCCCCCCTTCCCCCCAGTCCCGCCTGCCCCCATCCTCCACCCCCGCTTCCCCCTTCCCTCCAGTCCCGCCTGCCCCCCATCCTCCACCCCCGCTTCCCCCTTCCCTCCAGTCCCGCCTGCCCCCCATCCTCCACCCCCCGCTTCCCCCTTCCCTCCAGTCCCGCCTGCCCCCCATCCTCCACCCCCGCTTCCCCTTTCCCCCAGTCCCGCCTGCCCCCCATCCTCCACCCCCGCTTCCCCCTTCCCTCCAGTCCCGCCTGCCCCCCATCCTCCACCCCCGCTTCCCCTTTCCCCCCAGTCCCGCCTGCCCCCCATCCTCCACCCCCGCTTCCCCCTTCCCTCCAGTCCCGCCTGCCCCCCATCCTCCACCCCCGCTTCCCCTTTCCCCCCAGTCCCGCCTGCCCCCCATCCTCCACCCCCGCTTCCCCCTTCCCTCCAGTCCCGCCTGCCCCCCATCCTCCACCCCCGCTTCCCCCTTCCCCCCAGTCCCGCCTGCCCCCCGCTTCCCCCCAGTCCCGCCTGCCCCCCATCCTCCACCCCCGCTCCCCCGAGTCCTGCCCCGCACCTGCGGTACCCCACTAATCCCATACGCAGACGTCCCTGGTCTGCGCATGCGCATTCCTCGCCTCCGGCCGGCGAGCGGCCCACCCCCGCTACGACCCGAAGGCGGGGCCGCGCCCGCTCCCCAGCCCCAAGCCGGGCGCCCCGGGCCCGCCTCGGAGCGGAGCAGCGGGAGCGGCAGGAAGGTGGGTCTGTCGGCCTCGCCGCCCCCTCCCGCCGGCCGCCATCGCCCCAGCACCAGCACCAGCCCCCGCGGCTCCCCTCATCCCAGCCCCTCCCCCAGCTGAGCCTCCTGGCCCCGCCCGCGCCCGGCCTGTGGGTCCAGCTCCCCTGGTCCCGGGGCAGCATCTTGCGGCGGCTCCCCGCCCCCCCGGGCAGCGCTCAGCCGGCAGAGCCACCACCCTCTGCCCCAGGCTGCGCAGGGGGCCCTTATGCCCAGGGAAGCCCCAGCCCGTGTGGGCCGGGAGGCGTGAACACAGGGGTGCCGTGGGTGGGCACGGGCATCCAAAGGGTTTGGTGATAACAAGCCAGGGCCAAGCCATCTCCCTTCCCCTGGCGCTAGGAGCCCAGCCTGGCAGGCGGGTCCTTACCCCAACCCGACCTGTCACTTGTCAGATCATTCCCTGGACGTCCCCCTCCTCCTGGGGGGGGGGTTGTCGCTCTTCAGACAGGCAGTGGGAAGGATTCACCCGGGCCCCCACCCAGGCTGCCGTGACGGAGTGTGCGGGGGCCGGCATCGAACAAGCGCCCAGGTGCACGCACAGACATGCTTGCCTGCTTAGGCACCGTGTATGAGCACATGGACTTGTGTGCACACTCATGCAGACACACTCACGCAGATTGAGTCTGATCAATTAGCCAGTCATGGGCCAGTTGCTTTATTGAGCGGAGCTGGGGAAAGTCTGGTATTAGAAGGCAATATAATAGATATTTTTTCCAGTTCTAGATTTAGGGATTCACAGAAGTGACAGGCCCTAACAGATTGTTTTCATCTATCTAATTAAACTCTGACTGCTTTGAACAGTCTAGTTTTAAACATCCTAAATGTGTGCCTGTGTGTGTTCAGTGTGTGTATAAGTGTAATTAGACGTTTTGTTATTGTTTTGTGCCCAGGAAGGCAGAGATCAGCAAGAAGAATGTGCTTGATATTCCACTTCCTAGGGAAGCTGCTGGGCTTTGCTCTTCATAGTTGAGGTAAGGAGATGGGTTCAAGAGCATTTTGGTTGGTGAAAGGTATTCAGCACCAACAAAAAGCATTACAGAGCAGTTACCAATGTTCCCGCTAATTTTTGACAGGCCATGTGTGCAAAAAATGTCTTCTGTGCAAATTGTACTTCTGTGCAAATTTTTGTGCATGCGGTGTTTCGCTGTGTGTGCAGGGTTTAGGATCTGTGTGCATGCGCACAGCTTAGAGGGAACAGTGGCAGTTATGCCCAGGAAAGTGACGTTAGATGTGGCGTTGTGCAGCTCCACGCTTATCTCAGTGACATCAAGAGCAAACATACTCAATTTCTATTCTTGTCTTTTGGCACTGTTAATTCCACCTGGGTGTTTAAAACAAACAGTACTTTGTGGCTGGCAACACATTACCAGGAATAACCATTTTTCAGGTGAACTTTCTGAAGGTGGCTGACAACTTTGTTGATGAAGGAGGAATCGTAGTAGGATCTAGCTTATTCTCCCAAGTCCCATAGCATACTGGCTGCCTCTGTGGGGTTTAACAGGAACACAAACGTTTGTTTGTCATTGAAGTTAGCACACACAATGCTGTAGTGAATTAGACACACACTGAGCAGATCCCTTGGATAAGAAGGCACCTCTTTTATATGATTACTTTTCAGTCTATATCTGTACTTTAAATTGAAACCGGCTATCTTCTTCATACTCTAACATTTTCATTCCTTCTCTTGGCAGTTAGTTCCTAGAGTTAACCAATAATTATTTTACCCAGCTCTTTTAGAGAAACAACCTTTAGTCCCTTCCTCAGTTGAATTTGAGGTGAAGAATATGCCAACATGTTTTTCTTTTCATTTTACCTCAGTCCTGATAGTAATTTTTTATACCTTGTTGTTAGACTCTGTTTCTGTTTTTGCCAATAGGCTGATCTTAACGCTTTGTTTATTGGATGAACAAATAAATAACAGAGTGATTAGCTTGCATGTTTATGATGTAGAGTTAATTGTTTTTCTTTTGAACAGCTCCCTTGAGTCTTATTTCTTAGAAGGAACCATCTGTTTTCAGGAGGCCTGCACCTCAGTCAGTGAAATTGGGCACCAAGTCTGTGGAGTAATTAATCCCAAAGTAATACGTGTGAAGTAAGCCAAATGTCTGCAGTTGCTCTTTATTTTGAAGCAATTTTCTCCATCTAGTTTTTGCATCAAGAGTTTCTGTAAAACATATATGGAGGCTCCATGAGTTAGACAGCATAGGAAAAGTAAACGAGAGAGATAGTACTTGAGATTTCAGGGTCAGGCATTGTCAATTTAAGATATACAGTAATTAGCTAGTTGATCCTTTCCTATAATTGGATTTCTTGGTTGGCAGCATAACACCACTGGGATAATATTTCTTCCATCTGTTTTAGTGCAATGTCTAACAATTGTGAAACTCGTTTATTATACTGTATTGGTGACTTTATACATTCGCAAAATATGGTGAAGGCTACAAATAATGAAGGATTGATCATGACGGGAAGCTGTAAAGTTTGACAGTAGAATACATTCTTTGGATGTTGGGAAGGTGGAGTTTAGTGGGATGATATGTAGAAATTAAAGACTTTTGCATGTTGTGAATAGTGTGCAGGATCATTTTTCAGATGAGAATATATTCTGGGGTTTTACAGATGGGGAACATTGCTGAAGATTAGTGTAATTCCATGAACAGTGGAAAAAGCAAAATGATTTTCTTTTAAAAAGACGCTTTCAATTCAAATGTCACTCCTGTCTGAAAATGTTTTACCAACAATTGTTACAAGTAACACCTCATGCTATTGCAACTAAAAGATGAGAGATTTTTTTCAAGTGTGTTCATTCAACTGCACAATTATGCTTCTGGTCAATTTTCTGCATTTTTTCCTACAGAAAAAGAAGTGAGAAATACTGTAAAGATTGGAAACTGTAATTGTAAAACCACAAAAATTGGCAAAGGAATTTAGGGCATGTGTAATTCCGTGAAACTATTTAACTTTTTTGATAGTGACTAAATTTTCAAGTTTTGAATATTCGCACAAAATTCTAAAATCAGCAGTTTGATTCTTTACAGATCTAAAAATATTTCTGTATAACACATTTTAAGCTATAGTAATACCATGAGGCAAGAAAATGTAGTTGAACTTGTTTACTTTGATATCCAGCTAAAATGGATGCTAATCCATCAAGTTTATTGGTTCACGAGCTTGTTTGTCCTCTAAGCTCTATATAGTAAGCTGAACTGCTAACTAAGAGAGTGATGACTCAGTTGGTGATAGACATCAGTAAGTAGGTCCAGAAAGTGGGATGAGAAGTGCGGAGTGCTCAGTTGATTTAACTGCCTAGGACTGTAATCATACTTCTTTAAGCCATCCACATAACATTGGAAAAAATCGTGATGTTTATGGCAGTTTGTAAATCAGAATATTAAAATTCATGCAATTGCAGAATAGATTTGCTAATAAAATTGAGATTTGTAAACTCATGAGAGTTTAAACTCGTAAAATAAATTGTATTCCCAGGATGTCACTTCTCAAGCTGGATTGAGACCAAGTATACATGGGAGGCAACATATGATACACATTTATATATTTTTTTAAAAATGGAAGGAAGGGAATTCTACTAGACAATTAACATATAAAATCAACAGAAAGTTAATTGGGCAACTAAACCCTGTGCAAATTAACTTTGGTGGACAGGACTCCAGAGATATTCCTTAAAACATCTCATGCCATGACCAGGTCATAAAAGTGAAGTGCTATTGCAAACTGAATGAGAATGTGACCCGAAACATACACTTTGGAGCTTTCTTGATTTATAGCATAATATATGGGTTCTCCATTCAGTAAAAGTAATGATGTTTCTTTGTTTAGAGTGGCCACAGAATTACAAAGATACCAAGCTGTTTATCTCTTACTTTACCAAAAATTTAGTGATTTCAAGTCCCTCGCTTCTAGAAGTATGGCCAACCATCACTCTGTGTTTGAGATCAATTACTTTGTCATCGACAAAAATCCTGATTGTGGAGCCAAATTGTAGATCTCTATTGTATATTCTGCCCTCATTCCATATAGGAGATCTGAAGAAGAACAGATGGAAGTATGCAATGTGTACCACAGAAAAGGTTTGTCCCCTATTGTATAAATTTATATAAGTCTGTGAGTCCATGCAGGATTAGAGCCCATTTATTACAGTGTTGAAATAAGTATAATTGAAAATAGAATAAAAGCGATGCATTTTTCACAGTTGAGACATTTTCATTGAGTTTGATTTCTTCCATTTTTTTCATAATATATCTTGAACCACATATAAAACATATCTCTTCTAAACAACATCAAATGAAAATTTTGGAACTTTTTATTGGAAAAATCTCTGAATTTTATTTCAAGAATACTTGAACGATTATATTTGTACTATTGCAATGAATGTCTGTTGTCGCTGCTGCTAAGACAGTAGCTATTGTACTCAAATTTCTACTTGCTCTCTGAGTTGATTACGTAAGTGTCAGATGGCAGAATTGTGATCTAAGTGAGGGACAGTTAAATGCTAAATGTTTTAGAAATTTCAAGTTGCCAAACAGACCTAGGAAGTCAGTGCTGCAATTAATCTTAAAGTATTCTTAAATGGTATTACCCCCTTTTATGGATGGGAGAAATTGAGGCAGAGAGGTCAACTGATT